TGCCTGACAGTCACTGCCCAACGAAGACACTGTCAGTGCATGGTGATATCTGGCCTGATCAGCCAGACGTACCTGCTTTCGGATTAGCCAATGGGCCCCCTGTGGCATTGGAGTAACCAACCCTAGAGTGAAGCTTCTATGTGAGTCTGTATGGTTGCCGCAATCTGTCGTCGTCTTGTCCTGTCAGTAGCTCGTCGCAGTCATTCGTGCCGTGCCAAAGTGTGTTTCGTTCTGGGAATCCCGACATGGGGCCAGATCACAGTGGCAAACGCCCAAGCCCGCGATAGCGGATGTAAGCTTCAACTCTGCAAAGTTGAAATTCATGTGTCAACCGTCATCATGTGTTATATAGGGTTATATAGATTCATTTTCCGAAGCCTCCCGATGCCAATCGCTTTGTTCATTCGGAAACTGACGCACCAGTGAATTGCATCCCGATCGACTGCATATGCAGGTTTTTTTGGAAGGGTTAGGGCTCGAGGCAACGCGATGAACACAGGCTTCGGGCATCGTCTGTGCGCGTCTTTTGCCAGACTGCATTGTTCAGACTGAAGTTTTCTCCGCGCTGTTCGTTTGTTGATTGTTGTCTCGTGTTGTTCGGTTTTTTCTGTAATGTTCCTACTTCTCTCTCCCGTCGATTGTGCGCTTACCGGAACTGTTCACCGCTTAATAGCGGCATTGGCTGGCTGCTCGAGTGTGAACTTAAGCCCCGTCTTTTGGGAACATCAGTGCTTGCCTGCGACATGATCTACGACCCTCACGCCGACACATGCATCAGCCCGCTCGACCGAACGCCGTACCCTCCACTGCATGTGATGCAGATGGCTCCTCCGAATCTTGCCCGCGCAGCTCCCTGAAGCAATGCGCCCTGCGCGAAGTGAATAAAGTCCGGGAAGCCGTGCATCAAGGTTCCTCCAACTGTGCCGCCAGCCAACAAAAGAGAAGCGGCGGGCCAGCAGTTCCCCCAGGCACCACAGGCCTCGCAGCGCAGAAGCACCGTGCCACCAGCTCCCACAGGCACCGTGGCGAGCAAAAGTATCGTGCCAGCAACCCCCAACAACCCGGACCTGGTGACCGAACGCCACTGCCGATTCCTCCACCCCTGTGCGGCCCCCCGCCAAGCCTTCCAGCATCGCATGCCAGCGCACAGGGTTTGGGTCCAGTTGTTGGGCCCAACACAGGGCCTCCTGCGCAAGGAGGCACAGCCAACATGGGTCCGAGATTGCCTCCACAGCCTCCTAAAGCACGTTCGGACCGAAGGACCGGCAATGTGGGACCGCGGGGGCCGACCAGCATCCCCCGAAAATTCTACAATTTGCCGAGTCCAGTGAAGCCGTGGAGAGAGGTAACGCCGACTCGACGACTCCAGCCTGGTTGCCATGCTGAATGAGCTGTCTGACGTTGTCATCTCGTAAAGTGCCTCAATGTGGAGCCTGCCCACTACCTCGACTATGAAGGTGTCAGCAGACGCGGCCTCCGGGGCCTCATGCAGCCGGACCCTATTGACGGTGTCAAATGCTTTGCTCATATCGACACTGAGGGTTAGACTGCCCTTCAATTTCACCCCACGGCATCCCTGCCCCGCTATTCTTTGAAAAGCCTGTGCTCTGGCTCGGGCTTCGTCTATGTGGGTGAGAGCTTTACAGATGGCCTTCTCTGTCCATCGGCCCGGAACAAATCCGAACTGTGTGACTTCAGACGTGGCCATCTTCAAGGTTGCGTTGAGTCGCTGACGTATTAGCCTCTGGGGCAATCGCCCCAATTGGGCGAAGGGAGGCTGGCTTATCAGGTCTTTTGGGCGGTTTCGGCAGCCATGGAATACTAGATGAGGTCACTTAAGACGTCATCTTGCACTTCTGAACTTCGTAACTTCATCGTTAAGAAGGGATGCGATATGCGGATGTGCTGTGTCACCCAATGAGCGCCGTGCCACGATTGGTGGGCATCCCAATGACTGCCTTGCCGATCTTAATGGTGCAGAGCTGATTTCGCACTTCTGCCTCCGTGATCTCCAGAGATCCTGTTTGTCCGGTCAGCGGAAAGTCGGTTCCACTCCCGAAAAGGTCCTTCGAAAAGGCCTGGAGAATCTCTTCGCTAGAATTCAGAAAATGCAATAGCACCTTCTTTGTAGGCTTTGGTCAGCCAACATCTCCTTTTAGGGTTTGGGTTGCCAGCCATTTATTTTGTTCAGGGTTTCAGCATCTCTTTTTCGGGCTTGTCAATAGCAGCTCCTTGGCAGGCTTCGGGTCAAGCAACATCTGCTTTTAAGGTTTGGGTTTCCTATCCATTCCTTTTGTTTAGGGTTGCAACATCTCCTTTTAGGGTTTGGGGTTTGTCAACAGCACCTTCTCTGTAGGCTATGGGTCAAGCAACATCTCCTTTTAGCGTCTGAGGCTTCCCAACCATTCCTTCTGTTTAGTTTAAGTTTCAGCATCTCCTTTTAGGGTTTGTGGTTTGTCAATAGCAGCTTCTTTGCCGGCCCGCGGCCCGCGTCCTCTGCGGCTCTGCGGCCCGCGGCCACGCCCGCGGACCGCAACAAACAACCTCTGCTCCGCATTATTCACGAGCGGCCCGGCGGCCGCGCCCAAAAAGCTTAGGACGTAGGATTTAGGGCGTAAGATCTAAAAAAAGCGGGGGATCAGCATTCTCGAGACCACCGGGGCCCCGGGAGGCGGTGGTCAACAAATATCCCACGGGGCAAGTATGTGTAAACGTACCTGCTGGAAGATGTAGCAATCTGAGAATCTGGCAGAAACAGCATCCATTGAAGTCAGGATGACTGGTCTGCATACGCACACACACACACACATATATATATATATCTGTGTGTGTGTGTGTGAGCCTCGCAATCTTCAAGGCGAATGGCGCGGCCAAAGCCAGGCCGTGCCAGCGCAGGGAGATGCAAACTTCCTGCAGCTTTCTATCGTTTTTTTCTGCCTCGGCAGGATCCCGACGCGTGCTGAGCTTCAGGAGATGGCTGCTTCCAAGCGCTTGGTGGACTTCGCGCCTTCGCTCGAAAAAGTCGTGCGATGGTGCGAGCAGTTTCAGAGCACAGCTTCTTGCAGCTTTCGGCATGAGGTTCGGGCCAAGAAGTGGCCCTCCATCCTCTCTCCAGCTTGGGAGGCGCGGGTGACAGATGGAAGGAAGTGTGCTTTGGTGTTCGTGCCAGGGCCAGCGCTGGAGGAAGCTGCTGGAAGAGGTCGCCAAAGGCGCTTTGTCCGAGGCAGCCTTAGTGGACGAGGCGCGAGGCTCCCAGGCGCTGCGAGGCTCCGAGACTCAGTGCTCCCGTGCAGGTGGTGCAGAAGCTGCGGAGGCTCCAGGGGTCCGGGCTCGAAAGGAAAGGCCGAGACCGAAAGGCTAGGAGCGGCTGGGAGGATGACGGGAACGAGGGTTGCTGGCGCATGCTGGCGCTACCGGCCGCCACGCCGGCAACACGTGCTACTAGTCTTACCACTGCATCGGGTGATGACGACACGATACGGACAGTAATGACACGGAAACGGCGTCGTCTTGCTTTCACATTTCTTTACGTAGAAATAGTTGCAGGCAAGTTTCCGGGGAGAAGCTCACGAACTCGCGGAGTTTGCCTCAGATGATCTGGTGGACTTTTCTGCAAGCGAGTTACCTCGTTGTGGATTGCGAAAAGGCAGAGCTTGGATCTCCTCAGGCTTCAAAGAGCACAACGCCTGGCTGATGAGAAAGAGCGCATGCGACGTGAGGTGGCTCGTAAGCTTTGCAATGCTCGCAGCATGCAGACGTTTTTAGCCGCTCATCGCCTCCCAAGGCGGAGCGTATCAAGGCGGCGAAGTCGCAACACGCAGCCTTCCAAGCGACATGGCAGGCCGGGCGGTCGATCCGATATTTATGAGGCCATGACCTGAGCTCGTGCAAAGGTACCAGGCTGTACATGTGGCCATCCGATCCACACCGAGCGGTGCTGGGCTCAGCCACAAATCTGTGAGAAATGCAACGAGTCAAAACCAAATCGTCACAATCGTTCTTGGTGAAACTAAGCTGTCGCCAGGACATGTATTCCTCTTTGATTTTGGGAGGGCTCTCCAGGCGAATCACACATTTCGGACCTAAAATTGACCCCGAGCAGCCGAGCAGTGCCAGCAGAGCGTGCAGAGTCAAGTCTAGAGCAGTGTCGCAGAAAAGCGAACCTTTTGCAGTGCCATGTCCAGAGTACTCATTCGATGATTCTTCATTGCTATTGGAGTTGCTCTTGCATGTGCAGATCGGGTCTATTTACTTTTGGGGCCGTGTTCGCATCCGATGCACTCCTCGAAGCTGCGAGCAAAAACATCTCAGATATTTTGAGCCAGCGTGCATGCTCTGGCAGGAGAGTATTCAATTCCGCTTCTTTTTCTTGGTCCGTGAATTTGTTCAGGATATGTTGTGTTGTCGGCACTGCGTTGGCGCTGGGAGCTGCTTGCAAGTAGTTGCACAACAACTGCTCCGATGCCTGAGCTTCAGGTGCAAGCTGTTTCGTCCTCATGCTGCCGAGGCAGATTTGAGAGCTTTCCAGAGCTGGTAGGGCCAGCATCTGGCGTGGCTCGTGTTGGCCAAAACTTGACGAAAGCCTTCTTGCAACTGTCAGCTGGGCCCTGGGCCCTAGGCCTCCTTGGCTAATGATTCAGAGCCCGCCCTGTCGAGAGCAGGAAGCATACATCTGCACACCAAGACCCTCCAACGAAAGAGGATCCCCGACAGTGCATTTCGGGAAGAGCCGAGTAGGCTTTGGGTGCTAACTTGTCGCCTTTGTTTCAATAATATTAATGACTTGAAACATTTGGAGCAAGCGGATGAGGCCTGTATTCAGTCCGTTTGTTGTCGTGTCCACTGCGTCACTTCGACTGGATTCCAGCTCCCTCCCTGTGCAGACGGCCACGGCCGGTCCAAGTCGGCATCCTGGCAGTCGCCTGAGGGGCAGGGCTTGGGCTTCGGGACTTCAATGCGCGAGTTCTAGCAGGTCAGCAGGAGCAGCATGCAAATGCAGAGCAGCCGCCGCCATCTCTGCCGAGCCCCATGTCGCAGTGGGCACAGAAGGAGGCCGAGGTTTCCGTTCAGTCTGCGGGCTCCTGCCCCCCAGGCGTCTCTCCTAGCCAGGTCTCCCGGCTCGCCGCTGAGATTGCTTTGCAGCCGGCCCTCGAGCAGAAAGTTCTCTGGAAGAAGGCGATGCTGAGGCCTCGGTCTCTGGGGGCGTCGTCACGCGCCAAGGCTCTCGTCACTCTTGTCCCCTCGTCCCACGTCATGTTGCACGGTACTCCTTTCCCAGACAGGGCTGCGGTAAGCTGAACCATTGCTTCAAACCGTGCTGCGAGAACCCAGTCAAGGTAGACTACAGCTTCAAGAATCCAACGCTCTGCACGAAGACCTTCCAAAGGGCCCACGTCCTGAGCCTTCCAAGCAGCATTCCAGCTAAGCAGCTTTTGCGAACACTAAGTGCACTCCAGGGTCTCGCTACCCTTTCTTAAGTCACATCCATTGCCATTGGGTGGCTCCGTCCTGTTGGAAACGAGCAGCTCGGATGTTTCCACTCGGCATCCGACACTTCACGGACGAGTGAAAACTGTCACTATCATCAGGGTTACGGGGTGGTTTTGATGTTGTCTGCCATGGCAACAACTGCCGGGTTGTTGGTGAATTGGGGCAGTGTTCATGCCGTATGCCGCAACCGACGCAGCGCTAGCTATGCTTGAGCACCCACTCAAGGCAAGTCTCAGTCGGAAGGTGGTTGCCGCCTGTGCCCCTTTGCAGGTACCATCCTGACAAGCGGCAGATGCAGTCCGAGCTTGGTGCAGCCACGGCCACGGACAGGCAGCTCGCAGAGGCTCTGATCACATGCCATGCCATGCCATGCCATGCCATGCGATCCCGGGGGGACGTGCGGATCGCACATACTCCATGGCTTGCTTTAGCTGCAGGTCCTCATGGAAGTGAAGCGGCGGTATGAGTCCTTCTAGAGGAGACCTGCGAGAGAAAATGGCTAAACCAAGGCTTGAGTTCGGTCCGTCCTGTCCGTCCTGCCTTTAGTGTGCAGTCCTGAGCCATGCTGTCCAAGTATTTCTGGCCATTGACGCTCTCTTGCACTCCGTGTCTGCACATGGTGAATCCGGGCAGCAGCGGGACTAGGAAGCCACAAGCTGGAATGGGAATGCGTGGGCAGCTGGGAGCTGAAGTTCAAACCGCGAGATGTCGGGTCGGGTCGGGTAGTGGAAGCTTTAGATCATACCTAGTCTTAAGCGGAGAGCATGGGATTGCTGAAGCAGCTGGCGCCACGAACCGATGATGCACCGTCGGATCGTCCGCCCTCTAGGCCCTGGACACTTAGCTGGAAGGATGTTCTTGAATCCGAAGGATTCGAGCTTCGAGCACACTGTGGGAGATCCTTGGAACAGTCGTCGAAGAGGCAGTGACCTTTCGCTCAGCTCAAGCTGCAAGGTAATGGCAAGCCGCAACATTCTACACTGCAGTAAATATGCAGACATGAAGGGAATTCAGCATTCGGTAAGCCTACCTGACCTGAGGGTATTAAAGAAGTGTCCACTCTTTCCAGCTGCAATCTCACGGACACCACAAGAGCCTCGCCATGTCGAAAGCCTTCCACTCGGCTTAGGCCCTTGCACTGGTGTGGTGACAGTCATGCATTTGTTTGCAGCCGACCGTGTTTGCAGTCAGCCCAGATGATGAGTGGGCCGGGCAGTTGTAGTATTGACTGGCTAGAGTGGGGCTAAACCTTTCGTTCACCTTCTATCGTCCCTGACCAAAGTAAGACAAGTTCAGTCGTTTGGGGTTGGCAGTATGCCCCATCGACGAGAAATTCAGCGAGCATGTCCGGACAACAAGAGTCTGGTTCAAGTTCAAGTCATGCCCCACTCCTCGAGGTGAAGCTGAGCTTTGGGGAGTTTCAGTTTCAGCATGCTTTGCAGGCTTAACTTGGACTTGCACATGAGCGTTCCTGGCTCAGAGCTGCTTTGTGTGCCTGCTCCGCGGACAATGAAGACCGAGCCAGTGCAGGCAAAACCCATCCTCGTGTTTTACCACGTTCCTGGTGATGGGGACGAGGCGCTTTCAACGTTCGCGAAAGGGCAGGATTGAGGAGTCACAGCTCCTGTCATCTCCGGTCATGTCATGCAGAAACCAGTCTCAGATCGATTCGCGCAAGGCAGAGATGCCGAATGCTTTCCCAGTCTTAAAGGCTGATGGACACATCCTTCTGCAGGTTCGGCTGTTGGGGAACAAGCCAGGGTGAAGCGCAGAGAGTTGAGTCTGGCCTTTTCCAGTGGAGATTCTCCGGGACGCTTTGCGAAGGACATCCGCAGCAAGTTCCCGCTTCCGGGGACGCATCTTTGGCCAGTGTTCCTATTGTGCTTGCAAGCACCGCAAAGCAGTGCCTACTTCAACACGGACGTTTCTGTCTACGTGAGTGAAAACGTGTGTGCCTACAGCTAGACATGTACTACGAGACACATCCATGTTCAGACTGAACATCTGCAGCAAGGGCCAACGAAGACAGCTGTGCAACCGTGATTGATTGTCATACTGCTTCGGTTCGCGGTGTGTGTGTGTGTGGGTGGTGAACTATGTGAACTGCCCTGTCGGGAGTAAAACTTCATTGAGATCTGAACTGCTGTGGCTGGGGGATCAGCCGACAACCCAGAGACGCAGGCAACTGCTTACGATTTTCGATTTTATAGACTTGCTAGCACATGCCAAAGCGCTCGGAAAATCCTCGTGACAGAGCAGCGGCCACAAATCCACAGCATGGCGCGAGGGTTCGACAGCTTCGATGAAGACTCTTCACCAAAAACGACTTGTGTTGATAATGCTCGAAACATCTACGGGGTTTTCAACTGGTGCCAATCTGCAACGCATGGGACTTGCGACCATGCCACATCTCGTTTCGGCAGAAAGCGGCTTGGCTTAAGTGCATTCTGCTTCCTCCCGTGACCTTAAGCATTCTGCTTCCTCCCCTGACATGTCCGCAGAGCCCACGTGCTTGAGTGTGCCAGAACTGACATCGGCGGATCTTGAGATTTTTGTGGCGGCGACCTAGCCGCAACGTTCACTAAACACACTTGCCAGGTATCACTTCCGGTTTAAGATGAGATGGGGCCCAGACCCGGCGCATGTTGCGTGGATGGATGTTACGAACGAGGCAAGGCCGCTGACTGAGCAGTTACAGCTTGATCTCAGTCCAGAACCAAGCCTTCGCGGATTGGGCCCTGCACCGATGCATCACACCGTGAGGCCGCACAGGTGCCGATGTTCGACGGCCGGGTTGTGGCAAAGGAGCCATCAAGTCGGTCATGTTGAGAAGATGATCTCCTGTTCTCCTGCAGGTGACGCGTGTGTGCTGGGAGTCCAAGGCACTACGAGTTTACGATGCTTTGTGTGCAGAGTGGGGTCCGAAAGCTTGAAGCATTGACAGACGGACGTCGCAGCTTTGAATGGTGTGGGCAAGCCGCAGGCCCGAAGTGTCGGCGGCTCCGACCAATCGTTTCTGGTTTGATTTGCGCCAGCAACTGAAATTTATCGGAAAAGGCTGAAGCCCCAACGAAGAAGAGGCTTCACAGCCACAACCTGTGCATGCGTAGACATGACTGTTGGACAACTTTTACTTACAACTAGATTCCACTAAGGCAGCAGTGTTGTATTGATCCTGTAGATCTTGAACGGGTTGCAGCAGCGAGCATGGCTTCTGTAACAACAGTGGGACAGACCAGACAGAGGCTTGGTTCAGCTCTCGAACGTGCTCAACCCATGACGGAAATGCTGTTCTGCGAGCAGGCATCGCCCAAGCCACCGCCGGATGTGCTTTCCTTCGACAGCACTCGCCTGAGACTCCCAGGGATGGTGTTTACGGATGTTTCTGCTTTGAGCATTTGCCTTCAGAGGAAGTGGAGCCTGGCTTGCAGACAGTTTTGCAGGTCCGGTGGTGGCCCCATCGGCAGCCCCATCAGCGCCCTCGGCGCCGGTCGCAGGTGGGTCACCCTTCATGTCGTCAATGCGCTTCGTAAAGAAGAGTGTTAAGAAACAGGGGAGAGAGGCGCGAAGGTGCTCGTTTTCTTGGGTCAAGTCTGCTTCCAGGCTACGCTTCTGGTCCGACTCCCCAGGCACGCGGCAGACAGTCCACCTTCAAGGCTCTCCCAAGTTTGGACAGAGGCCCCGAAGCCGAACGATGACTTCGATATGCTCTTCAGCTGAACGCCTGAAAGGGGTAGAACGACGAGGTCGGAGTACGGAAAGATTGATCTGCAGTTGTGACAGGCTCGTTTTTTTGAGCTTTCTGATGAAAGCTGTTCAAGCTAGGGAATCGTCGGACAGCAAAGAGACGCACGGTGCTCATGTTGGCTCGAGGCCCTGTGCCACCTTCCGATCTGGGTAGCGAACCCCTCATACCCGAGCTTGAGTGAGATAGCTCCCGTTGCACATGAAAGGCATTTTCAACACAGCGTGCTGTTGTCACGGAATACTCGCTAAGTTACCACGGCTTTCGAGCACCGCGATCTTGCACGTGCAGTGGTTTAACGTTCGTAGCACGGACCTGCTTAAGCAACCCAGTCTCCACACTTGGAAGACTTGAAATCCATGGCGTTCACAAGAGATCATGGCAGCTTGGCTACGGTCTTGACATGGTGTTACACCTCAAAAGACGAGGGTAATGTTCTGTTCTTTGCCTTTGCCTGGCAGGCACGGTGTTGTAAGCATATGCACAAGCTGACTTAAAGGGTCGTGCTGGCAGATGAGCCGGATAGATTCGGATTGTTCTACCCGGAGACAGGCTGTGTGTGTGACAGACGTGTCGGCTCTAGGTACGTGCTGCATCGTACTCCCCTTGAAGCTCGGCGTGTCGTTGGTCGCCATGCTGTGGCTTGGCCTGTGCCAGTTCAAGACGGACGAGTGAGATGTGTATCAAGACACGAGTTGGCTTTCGATAAGTCCGAAGCTGTGCAATAGTTTGCACAAGTGCTCGTTTTGACTTTTGCGGCGGAAGGGCATTCTTCGATTCCATCTTCTGCATAGTTGCTACACTCACGGGCGACATCCGCTTCCAGCCGAACGGCAGCTCGGATGTGCTGGAATTTCAGAGCTTGTTGCATTCGCTCTCTGAATGAAGTGGTAAGAGTCGAAGGAGTCGACTCACGACAAAAGTGGGACGAATCTGAGGCTACAACGAACATTTCTACCGGGTCCCTGTCTTCATCGGCGTCTTTGGAATCTTTTTCGGCCTTCCGGCCGAATCGAGGGTGGCTGCGTTCCGCTCGTTCGAAGATGTCCGGAACCGGTTTGAGTGTCAGTCAGCTCTCCGTCTTAGGTGTTTGTTGAGGCCAGCAGCCTTGTCACGCTTGCAAAGTCTTGCAAGCCTTCCGAGGTTTCTCCGGCCTGTTGGGGATCTACGATGACAAACCGTGGGGGCCTGATATCAGTGCAGGCTTGTTTGCCAGCTGCCCACGAGCTCGCCTAATGTTGGTGCCGGTATGATTTTGCAAGGCAGCGGGGCAATCTTTTGTCGTCGTCAGAGGGAAAGGGTGAACTCCAGCTGTGCTACCAACGGGCAAGGACGTATAAGTTCCAAGCTAGCATCAGGCGATGTGTTGAAGAGGCCCACCTGAACTGGGCATGGCACATGTCACATGATGTATCAGAGACATGGGATCACGTGTCAAATCACAACAGACCAGCATTGAAAAAGACTTGCAGTTCCTTCTCTTTAGAAAAGGGTTTGATCTGCCCGAGGGAATGGCTGCGATGGCTCGTCTACTACCTCGGAGTGAAGCAGGTGGCCCTTCTTGCCACCAGCATCGCCGACTACTCGACGCTTTGGAAATGTCAGGGACCGAGCAATGTAGCATGCCACATCGCAGTCATGAAAGAAGCGCAGATGGGACGTTGAGCTCGGTCTTTACACCAGGGCTTGGCACAAGACACAAACATCGGGACGGCTCAGGCATCGCTCTCGTTGATTGTTTGACCTCTGTGAGGTGAAAGCTGGCCAACATCCTCAGAACGTGCTCGAGAAACCAACGAGCAGCTCCTCCAGTTGGCGGAGGACAGACCCATACAGCCTGCTGACTGTGCTTCTGCCATGAAGCTCAAAAACCCTAGAGTAGGCCCCTCAGCTTCGCATGCAAGCACCCGCAGTGATAGCAAAAGGGAGCAGTTTTTTTCCATTTTTGTTTGGGGCCTTGATCCTTCAAGAAATGCCTGTGTAAATCCAGCAGTTTTCAGGTCAGTTTGGAAGTTCGCCTGCACTCGACGAAGACGTTATCAGAAATCAAAACAAAACATGCAACTCTGCATCCCTAAGCCCAAACCCTGAATCCAAAATTTATCCTACGCGTTCCGGGTGTTTCCACACGCAAGAACCCCGAACCCTAATTTGACAGTAACCGGCAAGGTTTTTCCCCACATCTTCGTGTGGGGTTCTTACTTTTGCTGCTTGGTGTCCGCGCTTCCTCCTTTTCTCCTTCCCTTCCTCCTTCCCTCCCTCCTTCCTTCCTCCTTCCCTCCTCCTCTTCCTCCTTCACACTCACTTGCTCACTCATCATCACTCACTCATCACACACTCACTCACTCACCCACCCACCCACCTACGCACTCACTCACTCACTCACTCACTCACTCACTCACTCACTCACTCACTCACACTCACTCTCACTCTCACTCTCACTCTCACTCTCACTCTCACTCTCACTCTCACTCTCACTCTCACTCTCACTCTCACTCTCACTCTCACTCTCACTCTCTCACTCTCTC